AGGCAAACAAACAAATTGTGCCGCTTTATCAGTATATTAACACCAATTCTCACTCATTACATTAAGGAGTATTGAGCAGGAAGTGTTTTGGCCTGGCGAGAGAGAAAGAGAGAGAGAGAGAGTGAGAGCTTGGCACTTCCCTGCAACCGAATGCCACAGTCTGCAGAGAGGGCCGTGTGGATATATATGCACACTGCTATCAATCTTTAGAGCAATAGCCCATGCAAAGCAGCAGAGACGTCACTTAATAAACAGGCCGAAGCTTTAACGCCAAACTGCCCAATCACGCATGCTCCATGTGAAGAAGAGTACAGCTACAAGCAGCCTGCATAGATTATTAGTGAGGACAGCACTGCATTCCAACAATAAAGGGGAGGCACTGTATGTGTGTGTGTGTGTGTGTGTGTGTGTGTGTGCATACATATAAAGGCACCCAACCGTAACCCGTAAACATGTTTATTGGTAAATTAATTAAATCAGCATACGCTGTTGACCTCGTCTCCTTTCCAGGGATCACAAACAGGGCCAACCAGAGAAGTTTAGAAAACAAGCAGGGCTGTTTCTTTATGCAGATGTGTAATCGTGGTTTCATACAGGCACAATATTAGGCGGTTTGACTTTCTCATTATGAGCAGGAAGGGCAGCGATGATCGATAAATGATTAATGCTCCAGATGAGCTCACATCTGCAGGGATCGAGGAGGCCTCGTGAAGACAGCTGTGAGTATTCAGCCGGGCGCAGAAATCACAGCTGAAGCGGGTGATGATAATTTACTCCTTTTCCTGCTCGGGTTTCAGCAGCACAGAAAGCTGGATCATCACTCCGCTTCCTGCCCGGTGCGCTCTCACGTCTCCAGCCCCTTTCATGAATCTCCTCTCCAGGCCCACTCCCCCCTCCGAGGCATAATTAATTGGACGAAGTGAATTTCACACACGAATTATTCACGAATCTATCGATCGATATTGGACACCCAGGGCCTTTCTCTTAACCTCGCTTGGTTTGTCGTGAAGCAAAGAATATTAATGTCATCAGTGGAAAAGAAATGAGTCTAACTTATACCGTTTTCATCCGCGCATAAAGGTATTATTAAAGAATTCCATATGTCTGGAGGCACGGGTCAGTCTGCGGGGACATTCGCTGACATTCATGAGGATTAACTGGACTTCCACTGCGTGCGCATATTCATGGTCAATGATATTACACCTGTGTAGCCTGTATATGATGTACGTGCGTAAAATAGCGGCACGCGGGACAAACGTGGCTGTGAGAATCAATCTTTCTATGTTAGCGAGGAGCTCGAGGGATTCTTCCAAAGTAGGTCAGCTCCTGCTCTCAGCTCCAAAGCGAGAAATAGAAATCTCATTTCTCTTTTTATCAGCATCACGCGCACCTCGGAAAACACCCAGCGCCAAATCAGGATTTCTGCTCCTGTCCGGCTGCTCTTTGTGCATGAGTTTATGTCCGTCTCTCTGCTCGGTGCCTACTGTAGCTCTAAAAGCTGCAATGATCGATTTTTTTCTTTTCTACGCCGAGCTTGGTTCAGTAATCAGGGCCCCCTTCCTCACCGATCGATCGATATCGATTACTAAATCCAGCGCCTGTAGCAAAGGCAGCGCGCTATGGCGCCCCGTGCAGCCGGGCCACGACGAGAGCGACACCTACCGACAGAAACGGAACAAAGCAAGCGGTCGATGAGGTGGCAGAACGTGACTATCCGGTGGAGAAGATGTGGAGAGAGTCCGGGACTGTGTCAGCTTGCTGTGGAGGCACATTAAGAGAGAAACACTCGTCCTGCTGACTCTGCATCTTCCCCACGCACAGGTGCACTCACGGCGAAAACGTTTGGATGTGTGTTTCTTACCTTTTAGGCATTGGAGAGAACATTTAACCATTAGGAACTCTTTGAGATCTGATGCGGTTTGATGAATCGTAATACAAATAAATGAGAAAACATTTTTGAAAGCGTTTAAAACATTAAAGCTGTTGTGTTTGGCTGGATGGGATTTTTACAGGGGTCCTATTTTTGGTGTGAGGTTGTGTGTGTGTGTCTGGACAAACCACACAGGAAGAAAAAAAGTTAGACAGGAGGAAGTAAAGCTGCTCATACCAGCTGGAAGCTGCATAAGATAAATGGAGAACTGAGTGTTGTAATATATATTAAATATCATTATTATTATTATTATTATTATTAACCTAAAGACAGTAATCAATCTATATTGATAAAAATAGAAGAAGCTGTACTAAAAGCAGCAAAACCCATAACAAAAATACTCTTGTATGAGATGCAGTCCATGCTCATGTGTAACGAGGAGCTACATTAATAAACACAGGTATCTTGGGAAGCGTATTTAAAAATGCAGCTTGAAAAAACTATTTTAAATGAAGCTGAATGTTATTTAGTATTTTTAGCTTTTATAAGAAAAAATGATTAATTAAGCACTCTTCACGACCATTCCAGAGGTGTGTGTGTTTCGAATAGGAGCAGACATGTCACACATGTCAGCACTGCTCTGCTGCTCCTCCTCGGACTTCAAAAAAGCCCGGTGGAGCTTAGATACATGTTAGGCTCATTGTCCTGCTGGGAAACGAATCCACACACGTTTAATCCATACTGTCTGGCATGTCTCTGATGGGCTGTACGCTTCTCCCCGATGGCCGTGATGATCCAGTACAAGTTGTCGAGTATAGAATAAATAGAGATTTCATCACACCTGGAAATGTTTGAGCACTTAAGCTTTATCACTGGAACCTTGATGTTCAAACTCTGACGTGACTGAAAAAGTAATTCTCAGCAGAGTTTCTTTATAAAGGAAGACACAAATGATGAACTGTTCATATACATTAGAATGAAGTAAGCAGCTCCATTTATTGGGAAAAAGAAAACATCTTAAATATTAACTTTTATCGGTTTAGGAGGCAAAGAAATCCGGGATATAAGCTAGCCTGTCAATATTTATCCCTGGAACTACCAGGTGGGATTTACTTTGGCATTTTTAGAGTATCTTCAAGAAAGAGAAATACAATAAATACATGATGATGTAGTAAGAATATGCTTTCTCGTTGTAGTCTTTCTGATTCTTTAGTGTCCTACTTTTTTCTTACTGTGAATCATTTCAGACACTAAAGAAATGGCATCCTCCTCCTCCCTTTTCTCACCATCATTACTACTCTTAAACCTTTAATAAATCAAAGTATTATACATGATGATACGCTCGCTGTTCGTACAAGCATGGACAAATTTGTATGTGGCATATTAGCATGTTTGCCTGATATATATAGCAGCAGTGTTGATGTGAAATATGAATATGATGGATGCGCAAGTGTGCAGGTTAGACATCTGTAGTAAACAGATTGGACTGCAATGGCTGATCAATGGGCTCTGCTCCACTGTAATTAGACACACAGCGCCACTGCTTGGCTCCAGCCACTTCAGCATAATCACAGCCTCCTCACACACACACACACACACACACACACACACACACACACACACACACACACACA